TGAATAGGAAAATAAAGAAATAGAATGGGAAAAGGTGGGTTTTGCTAGGTGATGTAAAAGTAGTACTATTTGCATCTTTATAAATGGGGAGTATTGGTTTTGGAGGAAAAAATTGGAAGATCGATATTTGCAACTGGCAATTAGGAACCAATTTAGATAAGTTTTAAGGGCTGAATTAGAGGATCTTTCATGATAGTTGAGCTTATGATTCAATGATTTTATTTGTTATTTGTTGGTGACATTAAGCATTGTCTAAAAAAATAAACACCTTTGGTGATAGTTGGGCTTAATATCAATGATTTTAATTGTTATTTTGTTGGTGACATTTTGTCACTTATAGGCTTATACAAATATTTAAGTTGCGATTAATACCTTTTATTTATTAAGCTTGTGATATAAAATTATCAATATTATATATTAATTCAATGAAAAAACACTTTAATATTTTTGTTATTTTAGACTTATATTTTATTATTTTATACTTTTACAAGTTTTATTAATCGAGAGGCGAAGACCATCCAATTTTCTTCCTATTTCATTTAAGGTGATGTTCAGGGCCGGCCCAAGGCAAGTTCAAGGGGTGCTTATGAACAGGGTCCATCCTCCACCAGGGGCCCAATATTTTTAGGCTTAAATAGTAGTACACCGGTAGGTATGGCCCAATTTCTTGTTTAGGTTTAAAACCAGAATACGTTTTCTTCCAAATCAAAATGATTGAAAACAAAATTGAAAGCGGGAATTGAAATCGATTTTGCTCAGCCTCGTTTTCAATCATAACAATTGATGGCAAGCAACGATTCAATTCTTGGTAAAGATATCATAATCCCTAGGATATCTTTGGATTTAAAAAGTTGCATCCTTCAAGGTTTAAAAAAGACAACATTTTCTCCCATCTTGGTTATTCTGTTCTTAAAAAATCACAGTATGCTTTGATTTTCATGAAACGCAACCTTTAACTATGACAACACCTCTCTCTTCAGAAATTGCGGCCTTCGACCTTGAACCACGACCTTCTACCTTGAATCGCGACCTTCAAGTAACTGTGTATGCTTTGATTTTCAACGGAGTATGTTTCTAATTTAGATTTTTAGAGTAATACATTTGGTTTCTCAAGAGTTGAAAATTTCTGATATTCTTTCCAAACAATAGAGGTATTATACGTTTTTTAATCGTTCATGCTTTCTGTTTTTATTTTATAAGAGATAAATGTTGTATATGATTATGATTTTAATATGTCTTCTGATTTTGATATTTACAGAATATTAGTTTTAATCGGACAGTCATACAAAATCCAAACTACAAATAAGGTTAGTAGTTCTAGATTTTACAAATTTGAAAAGGTATTTAACAATTATGATATAAAGACTATCAAATAATCAGTTTTGGATTTTAAATTTCAGTCATCCATATTTTTATTTTGTTGTCTTTCTTTTTCATAATTTTACATTTCAGTTTTCAGAATGATTTTTCAAGGGCATGAAAAGAGAATTGCAATAAGGTAATTTCTTAATGCATCTATTTTAGAGAAATAGTGAAGTTGGGTTTATATATTATAAGGATGACAATTTTTAAGCAGAAACGAATTTAGTTTTTTGTATACTTTTTTGAATGAAATTTTGTTTTTTATAACTATTTCAAAAGGATGATATTTAGAATTTTTTTTACGTATTTTTTTACTAAATTGCACAGGGCCTACAATTTCTCGGGGCCGGCCCTGGTGATGTTGTATCTAGTCACAATTTAAGTAACAAAACCCGACAACTTTGCTACTTCTTAATTCTTAACGCCTACCAAAAATATCAAAAAAAAAAAAAAAAAAAAAAAAAAAACTATCTACAGTAGATATAGAAATCAAGTAAACAACAAAATGTAGAAACTTGACCAAACCTATATTTTTACTGTGTAGAAATATATCATAACTTGTATTATATCTTTTGACCAATAGATAACAACTTTCATTTTGTCTTGGTAAAAAAAAGGTAAGTGAATAGTTATAAAATATTTGATAATCAATATCATAAAAATATGGAAATCGAGTAAACAAAAGAATATTATAACGAATATGGAATAAATCTTGCTTTCGGTTTGGTTAAACGTAACCAAAGGTTGAGGCTTGTTACCGTGTACATATCTATGGAATAAATCACATTTGCAACATCAATTTAATTATGAACGAATAGTTATCTTATAATATAGTCCGATCATGTTAACTTTAGTTTCCAACTTAAGAGATCCATATTTACACCATTATTAACTAATCCAGAAAGATCTAAAGTATTGCATTCATGATTTAGCTACCAACTTAGTGTACAACATAAAAAAAAGAACGAAAAATAAACAAATACCCTCTCATCTGTCAAACATGTACAAAGTTGCCAAAAAAACTCGAAAGTCCTTAAATCACATTTTCTTGCCCTTCACCATCTTTAGCAATTAGGTCTTATGGTATACTCATAACGAGCATGTTCATGGTCTATGTGACCACGAACAAAAAATGTGAACACCATCCCATACTCTTAGTGGTGGAAAAATTTGTGGTCAAATGTGGTGGGGAGAACGGACAACAATATCCAATAAATTTTTCTCTCTCTCCATGTCTCTCTATCTCTCTCTACCTCTCTCTACATTTTAATTAATTAAAATATATATATTTTTTAATTTCAAAATAAAAAAATAAGAAGAATATAGTGGTGGGTATCTCATAGGTTTAGTGGTTGAATGTAGTGATGAGGTGGCACCCACCACTATAATGGTTAGCAGTGGGTATAACGGATGACCTTAGCACCACCATAATACTTGAATAGTTGAATTTGGTGGGACCCCTCCACTGCCATCTAATGATCTAATTATGAAGCATTTCAGTATCTTCCACAAAACCCTCCGGTACCATCTAATTATCCGTTCTAACACCTCTATCAAAGTATCAATCATTTCATTAAAGAGATGAATAGCACCCTCAAGTTTGCCTGATTTACTATAATTGTCCATCAAAACAATATACAATTGTCTAAGAGAATCTTCAAAGATTAATCTTCTCAATTGTTTTTTACTTTTACCATATTATTTTCCATTAATTTTTATTTGACAAATTTTTTTATAAAATAGCTTCTTCAATTGTTAACTACTTTAAAAGTTATTTTTTAATTTTTACTAATTTAAATTTTATCGCATCTTAATCATTTTATTAAATTCTTTCATATAATTTATTCTTTTACTAACATATGTCATATTTTTCGGTGCAAAAAAAAACATTAGTGACATTATAATAAAATTCAATATATAATTAAATATAAAGTCTAAAAAGGTTCTATTATATAAATAAAACTAGGTGTAAAACTCATGTATTACATGGGTTAATTAAAAAAAATTAAATATAAATGTTTAAATATTTAAGAACTTTATATTTATAAGAAAATAAGAAAAATAATGAGTTATTAAAATTGATTTTTTTATCTTTTAAATTTAAATAAATAAACAAAATAAACTAATGAGCTTTAATTTGAGAATTTGAAATAAGAATGTAAGTTCATTAATAAAATTGATATTCATTTATTACTACATTTATTATAAGTACTATATTAAAGTATTGTATGGAATTTATTAAAATAGAAAAATCTATAAAATGACATTTGGAAAAGAAATTAATTCAAAATAACCACAAAATGACATTTGACAAATTGAATGAGAGTATGACATACGACAAAAAAAGTCTTCATTTATTAGAGTAGATTATGATGTAAAATGAAGTGTTAGTAACATAGGGATCAAATTTAAAGAAATTTAAAAAATAAATAAATAAATAAAAAGTTGTTAAAATATATGGTTGGAATAACCTCTAAAATGAGCCCTCCTCTGATGGTATTAAAAAAAAACAAAAAAAAAAAAAGTTTTATCGCTTTATTTAAACAAACTTCAAACACATGAAATTAGCACAGCAAATTATATCAGAGCTAACGAAGGGAGGACTTTTATGATCGATGGTGTTGTTTTTCAGAGTTCTTGGTTGTTGATTTCAAAAGTGATCGATCAAGGGGTAAAAGACAAAGGTGATCGATCAAGAGTAAGGCAGAACTTCAGAATTCAATTTTCACACAATTTATGTGCGCTTCTTTTTGGAAGTTTTATGAGAAAATTTGCAATTTCGAATTTAGTTAGCAAGACAGTCCAATTATTTTCTATTTTGGTTGAGTTGCCTTTCTTTGAGGTTTGTAATTTGATTTTGGGGGACCCTCTACCAATGACGTTTGTACTGAGGTGGAGTTTGAAACATTGCACACAAGGTGTTCGATAAAAATCCTCAGTGAAATTACATTGTTCTTGATGGGTTTTCTTGTATAGATTATGGTTTCTCGGTTGAAAATGCAGGTGTTGCTAGAACAACAAGGAATGGGCTTTCACTTGCTGGGATAAGCCTTTCCATTATAAATAGAGATTTGAACCTATTCTATTTCACATGAGTCTCTCCTGAACAATTGCAGTTGCTACAATTCCAACTTGGGGAAAATCGTGTTCATATGCATGTTATGGCTAAAGCCTAAAGGCAATTTCTTTTTGAAAGCCTCTTTTTGTTTATAGACGTTGAAGATAGAAAGACATTATATTAACCATCACTATGCACATGAATATGATGGTACTCTAAAGTCATACAATAAAAAAAATTCAGCCTTAATACATGAATACCACAATCCCAACAAAACCATTAAAAGATTCTATACCTAAAACACTAATTGAGTTGATAGAACCTAAATCGCTCATATTTCAATTCAACAATTTGTAACATGAATATATCTATATTTCGCTTCAACAAAATTTGCAACATGCATATCTATTGAAAGTATAATAGGCAATAGTACACTTCTCAAAATTATACAATCAACTTCCATGGAAGGTATTCTAAGGGATACGCTGCAAATATTATGCCTATACAGATACACACATACAAGAATTGTATCATATAGTCATAAAAGTTTACCTTGGCTATATATTAAAGGCAGCTAATTCTAAGGGATACACTGCAAATGAAAACGCCATTCATCAATATATGCTATCTTTTCATGATCAATGTTTGGTAGTTGATGCATTTCAAGCCTTTTTATTATCTTAGTAGTCCTACCAAGAAGCTTAGCTGCAGCCTCAACACTAGCCTCCCGTTTCTCTATTGCACTTTCATGGCATTTCATTGTTATGACTTGTGGTATGTTGGTGAAGCAAGCAACCAATATGTCTGCAATCATGTGAGATAATAGAGCAAACAACTGTTCTTCAGTGATCCCTAAGATGTTACTTTGGTAGGTAAGCATGATTGAATGTGCAATTCGGTACATTGAATTAGCAACAATCAACTTCCGTGGAAGGTATTCCACCGGTTCTTCTCCATTTGTGCTTTTGCTAACTTCTATCACAATTTCTTCTGCTTTGTGAGCAAACCATTCAAGAATCTCTCTTGATGTTTTTCCTTTGTAAGCGTTTTTTTCCAAAGTTTTCCCTAACCACTTGTGGTTGTCTTCTACCTCATCCCACAATGTCATAGTTGCCTTTTGAATGTTTACATACTTACATCCATTGTTCAAGTTTTCCTCAACAACACGGGTGTAAAAAAGACCTTCACCAACACATTTGATCAACCTGTTAGTTGCATCCTTACCAATATTTGGAAGTGCGATGGCGATGCACGTTAAGGTTACTATTGGTAAGCTCCAACTGTTAGGAAGTTTAATAGAAAGCAGTGGTTGAACTTCATAAATATCGAATTTCTCTACTCCCTCAAATCGGCCAATAGATTTTTCAAGAAACTTAACAAGATTGTTGTCTTGTTCTTTCTCAGCCTTTTCAATCAAGTGATTGATGGAGTTTGAAATTCGTTTAAATGTTCTTTCAGAAAGCTCCATATTGTCTTCCAAAAACAAAACATAATTGCTAAGTTCTTCAAATTCGCCTATATCATCACTGCTGCTTGAGGGTGGACTAAAGATCATCTCTTTCAATGACATAAAATAATATGAACAACACATGAATATGAGTAGAACCAGAACAGGGATGAGCCCTATAATTTTGCAACTTACCACAACTGTCTTCTGAAATCCGATGGAAGGGATTAGAACGAGGTTTTTCAATATACGCATAAGCCTTCTTGATCTACGACCATTTGATAGAAAGGTTATATGACTTTCTTTCCATTCACACAACTCTTTAATCCAATACGTCTCTACTTTAAAGACATCCAAATGATTCCTATTCCACCTAGAAAAAGATTTGAAGCTCAAGACTGTAGAACATCTAAATATTGGAGCAATGACTCCCACCATAACTCCAATGGACTGTGTGGTAACAATGGCAATCACTGACCACTTATAATCCGATTGGTATCTTAACAGAATTGGTGTCATAAAAATTGACGAGAGTAGATTTATATATATGACTAGACCAATTACACAAATTACACCAGAAGCAAATGATAATGGATTATTAGCCATCACAAATTGTGGGCTACCCGTTTCTGCCATGATCCAGTATCTTTTCATATGCTCTCGTAGCTTCTCAATAGCAAATGTTTCGTTTGGATATTGATCATTTAAAGTTGTTTTCATAGTGGCTTGATACTTGAGTTGTAAAATTTGCTTAGAGGTTGGAACAATTATAGCAGACGAGATCAAAATTACTAGAAAAAAGAGCAACATAGCCACATAGATGTATGCTACGTTCATGAAGTGAGGCTTTATAAAAGTGTACTTACCTATCCTAAGACTGAAAACTTTATGCTCAATAACCCCGGTATTAATCTGCATGTAAACATTAACAATCATGGTGATAATGAGAATAGCCAAACCTATGACATTTGCAAAGAGTGCCTTGTTGTCCATAGAGGCCAAAGATGGAATCAAGTTGGCTATCATCACGCACATAAAGATCAAGCTTCCTTGCTTAGCTAACTGATCAACATAACCTCCCATTGGACTATTCAAATCCATGGGGAGTTTCACTGCTACAGCTATCATTGTGATGGAAACAGCATTGAGAGAGAAATATTTACATGGAAAACAATATTTTCTTTTTCGGAAACCATTCCACAAATCGGCTGCCATGGCGACAATGCAGAATAATGATGCTATTGAGATGTAGATCCCAATCCACGCCACAGGCTCGTTGTACTTGTCTTCAACTTCCACATGAAGTTTTTCATCACAGAAATACTTCAAAGATTCGATGTTTTCGTTGGTGAGATTTACAAGTACTCCCGAAGAAGATCGGTTTTCTTTATAATAAATTGGTGATACAATATCATAACAATAATCAGATGAATGAAAGTATGAACCCATGTTCGAAATATTTAGCAAAGAAATACGTAATGTGATGCTAATTGTTTACATGAAGAAACATAAATTAGCATCGCTCTTTTATACCACTTTGTAGTTGTTAACTTGTTTTTGCAGAAAATTGAGTAAGTTGCAATTGATGAGATTAATTAATGGATGGACAATTGGCCAATAGGAAAAAAAAATAGACAGAAGGGTCATATGACGCTATTAGAGGAGGCTTGGTCTATAGGAAAAAGTTAGACACCATTGACTGATATGATGCCTTAACAATAATGCATGAACTTTACAAGTTTATGGAGAGCTTTGACCAAATTGACTGACTTTGAATACTTGTTACTCCACCATGACGTTGACCAAACTAGAAATGTGGGAAATACAAGTTTATACAACCAAGAAATGTGATATTCTTCTTTATCTTATAAATATATAAATTATGTTACTGTTAGTATTTTCTAGTTGACTAAAATCGGATATAGAAGACAAAGGAACAGAACACAAAGAAAGAAGAAATGTGACAACTAAGAAGAGAGAATCAGTGAACAGAAAGTCAGAAAGTATGTGGGTCATAACTTGACTCGGTCAAAGTAGACCTCATTACCCATTAATCATGACTATGGACCAATGCCTCATTTTCACCCTTTTTCTATTTATTAACTAGTCGTAAATAGCTGTGAAACTCATGTATTATATGGGTTAATTTTTTTTAAAAAAAGTTAAATATAAATGTAAAAATATTTTAGAACTTTGAATTTAAAAGAAAATAAGAAAAATAATGAATTATTATAATGGAAATGTTTTTTATCTTTTAAATTTAAACAAATGATTTAAATAAATAAAAGAAAGTAATGAACTTTAATTTTGGGAATTTTAAAATTAAAAGGTAAGTTTATTAATGAAATTGATATCAGTTTATTACTATATTTATTGCAATTATTACATTAAAATGGAATTTAATAAAATAGAATTTAATAAAATAGAAAAACTCATAAAATGACATGTGGAAAAAAAATAATTTAAAATAACCATAAAATGACATTTGGCAAATTGAATGAGAGTGTGACAAATAGCAAAAAAAACCTTCATTTATTAGAAAGGAGGATGTCATCAGAAGCTTTTCTTTTAAATCAGTCTAATATAATATAAATGTCTAAGTTTATCACAAAATAAAACACCCTTTTATCAAAAGTTAATTAATATTATTAGGTGATTAACTTTCTCGTTTAATTAAAAAATTATCAATTAAATGCATTTTACTCGACATCACTTTCTTATTTGTTCAGTTTAGTTTTTAAATTCCATGATAATATTGTTTTCGGTTAATTAAAAAAAACAAAAACAAAACAAAACAAAAACAAACAAAACAAAACATATTTTATTGATATGTTTATTATAGCATAGCATCCTAGTTCAATTTCTTCATGTTCACCAATGTACTTCGAAAAATCTACCCAATCATAGGAAATAGGAATGTCATCCAAATACAAAGCAATTTTCACTGTGATATATATTGAGTAGTTTTCTCAAAGTACAGTGTCTCCTAATAAAAGAAAAAATTGTAAAGTACAATGTTATGATTGGGTAGATTTTTCAAAGTACAGTGTCATAATAAGATATTTCTTTGAGAAATTTCATTAAATGACCAAATGGAAGTGGGTGTTTGAACATTTTAACCATGAAAAATGGAGTTTTGTAGAATAACCATGACTTCCGCAGAGGGGGCTTTGCGGAAGCCTTAAATTTTCTGAGGAATGTGAATAGCAATGAGGAATTGAGGTGACAGGGGATAAAGACAAAAAAAAGGTATCTTTCATACTTCCGAAGAAGCGCCTCTGCGGAAATGGTGTTGTCTCTGCGGATCATTAATCTCTCTGAGGAAATGGTCGCTGAAGAAATTAAATCGATTCCGCCAATTCAACAGAGGACTCAATGCTTCCGCAGAAAGGTCCTCTGTGGATCTGTTCTTCAGTTTCACAGCTGTGAGAAACTGTTCTTCAGAACACCCATGCAAAAAAAATTGGATTTCCTAGCTGGTTCTTATCAATTGAACTAAGATACACTCTAAAGACCATATAATGATTTCAATAACACATTTATAAATCAAATTGAGACATCCCAAAATATAGTCCAAAATTTTCGTTTTCAACTCATTATTAAAATCATAAACCATCCAAAATCATAAGTAAAAACATAATTCATGTATCATAAAACATCATAGTATCTGTCTCAAATCAAAATCTCATATCAAATCATCAGAGTGAACTCCCAGGCTGTGAATGTGGTGTGTGCCATGCGATCAACCCAAGCCCTTCCCTTTGCTAGTGGAAGTACCTAAAACCAAAACTGAAAACTGTAAGCACAAAGGTTAGTGAGCTCCCCCAAACTACCTCATACATACAATAACACATATAACATATATTGGGCCTTGCCCACTGCATCGGGCCCCGCCCGGCATCGGACCGAAGTCCGGCATAAGTTGGGCCCCGCCCACTGCATCGGGCCCCGCCCGGCATCGGACCGAAGTCCGGCATAAGTTGGGCCCCGCCCACTGCATCGGGCCCCGCCCGGCATCAGACCGAAGTCCGGAATAACTTGGGTCCCGCCCACTGCATCGGGCCCCGCCCGGCATCGGACCGAAGTCCGGAATGAACTGCATGTAACATAAACATATAACATAATCACACATATACTGCATCGGGCTTGCCCGGCATCGGACTGAAGTCCGGAACATATAACACATATCATAAACATGCATGAATCACGAAGACATCAAGCATACATACTACTTCTCGGGACTACCCCGGCATCGGACTGAAGTCCGGAACTACTATCATCTAAACGGGTCGACATTGTGGCCGTAGACCCGTTCCTACTGGAAGGAAACTCACCTCGCGTAACTGGCTGCTGAAACACTGAGCGGAAAGATATCTGGCTGCTGCTCCGGCGACTCTCCGGCTATAAATTCCACAATGACACTTAGTCAGAAACTAATAGCTATCCTTAGGGTGAAATGACCCTTTTTACCCCTGGCTAAAGTCCACATCATGGTCAAAGTCAACTTCCCAGTTGACCGGACTCGCCGAGTTGGCTCGACAACTCGCCGAGTCCCAATCTTCTCAACTACCCCCAACCCGACTCTACTCGTCGAGTTTAGCAAGAACTCGACGAGTTCTCCTTCAATCATAACATCGAGACAATCTTCATCTGACTCGCCGAGTTCTTCCTAAACTCGTCGAGTTTATCTTCATCTAAAGAACGTGTCTAGTCTATGACTCACCGAGTTGTATGAACAACTCGTCGAGTCCGTCTTCATGAGTTGGGAGATGGCCTTGGACTCGCCGAGTACGTTCCTGCACTCGCCGAGTCCCATGGTTTCCAGATCCATGGCTTTGTCCATTTCATTTAGTCCCTTCCCCGGACTCATCCAAATCCCTTCTGAACTAAAATGGGTTCCTCTGAGTCATAACAGTTTTGGGAACCAACTCACGACTCGCCGAGTCCCAAGAACGACTCGTCGAGTCCATGCATGTCCAAGTCTAATAATTAGATTTCTGATGTGCAAAACTCATCCAGAAGGTAGATCTAGGCTCCTAAGATCGGTATAACACGTAAAGCCATGGACTTTACGTTCATGCATGGGACTTTTATGCTCAAAGGACCAAAAATGGGGTTTATTTCATTCTTGGGGTTATCATGGCCATAAAGATGGCACCTTTATGCCATGAGGACCCTCCAAGGTTCCAGATCTGTGTGTAAATCGACTTGGGACGTACAAGTCCCAAGGATCAAGCTCCTTGGTTCCAAAACCTCATAAAGATGACCACAAGGAGATCTAAGAAACTACAAGTCAAGTATGACGCTTGATTACCAGAAAGTGAAGAGAAGCTGATGTTGTTCCTGGATCTATAATCTTCTCTTGAAGTCCTCTTTCTTCCTCTTCTTCTCACAAGCTTCAAATACACCAAATAACTCTCAAAATCACAAAGAAAGCTCAAGTACATTTATGGAGGATTAGGGTTTCGGGATTACTGCTCTAGAGGTGATGGAAGCTGGACAAGAGGCGTATAATGTTACTTAAATAGGGTGCAAACCCAAAATATTAGGGTTTTCCCCCAGACTGGCCTACTCGTCGAGTCAAGGCGTGAACTCGCCGAGTAGGTCACTTACACCCGCGTCCAAACCTGGCATCTACTCGACGAGTTAGGGCTACAACTCGTCGAGTAGATCTTATAAAATAACATTTAATGAATTAAATACGTACCAGAAACGGGGCGTTACAATTCTCCCCCACTTGTCTTAGACTTCGTCCTCGAAGTCTGCTACATCTGGAAACAACTCCGGGTAGTGCTCTCTCTCATCTCCTCCTCGGGCTCCCATGTCCACTCCGAGCCCTTGCGGTGCTGCCACTGCACCTTCATTAAATCTACTCTCTTGTTCCTCAGCTCTTTCACCTTGCGATCTAGAATCGCCACTGGTCTCTCGATATAGTTTAGGCTATCGTTAACCTGAATGTCCTCGAGGGATACCACTGTTGAATCATCCACTAAGCACTTCCGCAACTGAGAAACATGGAACGTGCCGTGGATCTGGCTGAGCTCTGCTGGAAGATCTAACCGATAAGCAACCCGTCCTACCCGGGCCAAAACCCTAAACGGACCAATGAACCTGGGGCCCAGCTTGCCCCGCTTCCGAAATCTGATAACACCCTTCCAGGGTGACACTTTCAGGAGGACCATATCGCCCACCTGAAACTCCAAGTTCGAACGCTGCTTGTCGGCGTAACTCTTCTGCCGACTCTGAGCAGTCTGGAGCCTGCTCCATACTTGCTGAATTCGCTCCGTGGTCTTGAGTACTACCTCCGTACTCCCCATGACTCTCTGACCGACCTCACCCCAGCAGATTGGGGTCCTGCACTTCCTCCTGTAGAGCATCTCGAAGGGAGGTCGGTCTATACTTGAGTGATAGCTGTTGTTATACGAAAATTCTGCTAACGGAAGATACGT